ATGAATTTAATTAGACAATTGATAAATTAAAATTAATTTTTTTCAATATAAATTTATTACAAAAGATATATTTATTTCATTTTTAATATAGACCCTTAAAATATAAGTAAAAAAAACCCTTAATTATACACTCTCAAAAAGAAATTAAGTACAGGATATGCTAGGACTTATTTTTTTGTTTTTAAAATTTCTACATAAGTAGTACTATATAAATACTGTATAAATTATGTGCGTCATGTTGTAAAACAATTACCATGTCATGCCCGATTAGTGTCACATAAGCAGAGTTTAAGGGGGAAATAGCGGTAGTCACGGAAAACTGATACCATTAATGGAAAGGCTCATGATTTGCGAGTTTTGATAAATATAAAGGTTGATTTGTACTAGTTCTAAGCTAAGAGTCTCAAATGCCACAATAATCGAAGTAGAGGAATTGAATTGCACCTCCGGCCTTCCTAAATTAAAGACAAAATTTATGTTCTTACCTACACTTTTCCTTAACACTGGTCATGATAATAAATTAGGTTTGAATTCTCGTGTCCACGCGTGACAGTCAAAAGAAAATGTGAGATGGAATGCAGTAAGAATGTTTTTGTTTGATTTGGTGTGAACATAAAAATGAAAAAGAAAAGAAAAAAAAAACAGACAATGTTTGGTTTGGTAGGGAAAAAAATAGGGAAAGTACGAAGAATTTGATGTGACGAATGATCATTCGATGTAATGGTGCGCTCATGAGTTCACACGTGTTCATATATAAGTTGTTAGTATGACTTTTAATAAGTAGAATAATTTATAAATAATTTATAAGTTGCTCAACTTAATTTTAATTTTGAACTTCACTTATTTAGTAAATAAATTCAATTGAAGTTTAATATTAAATTAGATAAAAAATAAAGTTGACCTCAAATTTTCATAATTATTTGTAAATTACTCATAAATATTTAGTTTAAAATTAAAAATTATATTATATATAAACAAATTTAAATACATAATCTATACGTATCCAAAAAAAATATAATCTATAACCTAAAAACTTAATCTAATTTAAATAAGTTATATGTTTTAAATTGTAATTATTAATAAAAGTATTTAAATAGAGTTTATTATATTTTTTTATTACTAAACCTAATATGTTTAAGCCTTCAGTACTATAATATTTTTTAAAAATGTAAAATATTTTATG